AATGTGCCACAATTAAATTTGTTAAGCACTATACTTTTCCTCCATACGTTTTATACAGCTTTCATGTTTTTAGACGAAAATTACATCGAAATAAATAGACATGTATTTTGAATAATATGCAAATGCACTGAAGGAAATGTTAAAATAAATAACTAAAGTCGTAATAATGACTTTTGTAGAAAACTTGCAACCACTTGGCTGAAAAACCAAAGTTTAGGAACGTACTTTTACAAGTATTTTTTATACAAAAATAGTAATACTTGTACCAATTTCTGTGTTCTGAAAATTGATATTGTATTGCCTGAAAACATTGATTTTATTCCTTTCGTTTTCTGATATATAAAATGCTTTAATTTTACTTTTTAAGCCTTTAAAATGATATAAACATGGAAAACGCAGTAATACATTTGTAAACTAATTTCGAAAGGCGTAGTTTTGCTCTAAAGTATATTCAGACTCTACGTGGCTGTTAATAGTGACTTAACAAGGACAATCTTTTTTTCCAGTTTCTTGAAAGACGACAATATCATTAATGATAAGTAAAAACTTGGTCAGTAACATTGTGGGTCTCTTCCGATAAAAGACACGAAACATAGCCCGTGTAGAAATACCTTTAGCATGTTTATGCACAACATAAATTTTCTATTTTACGTGAACGAACATTTCTAGTTTTCGAACGTCATCCTGACTTGGTACTTTTTATTCATAATTAAGTGGCATAATTAATAAGCAGGTGTAGTAGAAGAGAAAGGTCGGGATTCTGGACGTCAAGAAAGCGTTCGCAGATTACACTTATTCACTAAACGTAACATACTGCCTTTACCGGCTCTTTAGACGATAAATATATTTTTAAATAAAGGAATCTGGCGTCACAGAGGCACCGTCTATTGTGCTAGACGCAAACAGTGAAGCAAGTTTTTCGATTTTGTAAATCTGGTTCATGTAGAAGAGTACTTTCAACTGTATAAAAAAATGCACGTAGTAATTTTATTTATTTCATTTTATTCACATAGAATTTTTTATTAAAATATAATAGTTCAGATGACCTAAGGCCAAGGACTTCTTATGGCTCTAAACTACATTACCAAAAATCGACCGGAGGGGCCGGCGGACGCTGGCATTCGACGCGTGAGACCTGGCGCTGACCTGGCGCTGGCGCTGACCGTGTTATCAAATGGTAGACGCACACTGGGGGCGCTTCCTGAAAGTTGTCGCTGATTCTCCGACGCCTGTCAGCGGCCGGAATGTCAGAGTCTCGGCGCGCTGGTAGCAAGTCCAGCCAGTGAGACTTCACAATGTCTCAACATTCAAAATGGGCGTAGAATTTCTGTTATTGAAGATGTTCATGAGGCACGCTAAATGAGATAAAAGAAACTGGGGTGATTTGGTGACTGGTGGGGGGACTTGAGGACACATCCTACTATCTTATTTCAGATGTACTAAAATAAGTTTTATTTGCCTTTTTTACCATAACCTGTGTTTCAAGGTTTGATAAAAGCATTGCACAACTATGTGTATAGTAATTACTAGTTACATCAGATAGTTTCGAAATTATTTTGCTTTGGTATTTTATATATATATTGTGGTAACTGTGAAAGATAATGATGTAATTAAACTTTTTGTTTAGTAGTTGTGGATTTATTAGCGAAATGTTAATCCAGGAGGGATAAATGTTCCAAAACAGCAATCTTCAATTCTTCAGATTTACGTTGTTGATTTGAAATAATATTTATCTATTATTACATTTGTAATAAAAACACAATTTATTTTTTTTCCACAATAATTTCTAGTGAGGTGAGATGGATACATCCTCCTCGAAAGGCTAAGGTAATGTACCCAAGTGACCCCACCTGAGAGGTCACTTGGGTACGAACTTGCGTTAATATTTCTCTGTTATAATAAGTAATGAAATAAATATCTTTGAATTAAGAAATAACCAAAAACTTATTTTTCCTAATGGTGAAACTTTTTGTGAAAAATATTAGGTTATATAGCAGATAATACAAAAAATGCCCAAAATCTGTACTCAAGTCACTCCGGTTTAAGTTGTAAACACGAGAACAAAAATATGGAAAAGTGATGGCAAGAAATTACACAGAAATGAACTAGTAAAGAGCTACATAACATATAATAAATTATTTTAAATAGGTAATGTTAATAGCTACATTGTGTAAAACATTAATTAATTAAATTAAATAATAATTATTACACTAGAAATTAATCAATACTTTCAGAAGATTAACTTATTTCTGGGAGTGTGTACAACTGGATTATTACATACGATTTTTTAAAATCTGTCAGATATGTAGTTGAGTGAATGGTTTGTAATTTTAATTTTACTTTTAACGTTCTTTAATCCAATTGAACGGCGTTATTGGGGTGATTCATTTCAAATATTGTAAACATTCGTTAGCAGGAACTCATTTAACACGAATTTCACAGTACCACGAATGAAACGTAGGTCCCAGAAAGGGATTACAGTAATATGGACATTTATAATAATCGGATGACACAAATGTTTACAAGAACTCCGATTATTTCGGTCTCTTTGAATTCGCGTAGAAGAGAGTTTACTGCACTTCATTATCTATTTCTTAAGAGTTTACTATACAGATTTCGTAAAGTACACTCCCACTATTTTGTTTCTGATAAGTTAAAAATCAATCAATCAATCAACTTTTGGATAGTTTTCTCTATTTGGAAAACAATATCTCAAAAGCATTCGATAGCACTCTTTTTTTCTTAATGTCCATTTTCATATAATGTTTTTTCACAAATTAATAAGGTATCTTTTTCGCTGAGAAGTGAAATAATTTTGATAAATACACTGATTCTTAGTGAGCTCTTGACTATCTCACGCAATGAGATGTATGGAACTAGAGTACTCGGAAGTGCCGCTAGATCTCAATCTTATCGCTGATAATGGCGTGATACTGGCGTGATAAGGCGTCCGCTGCAGCAGAATAAGCAGCGTGATCATCAGAAAGCGATGGTACCCTCCCATCATAAGCCCCGTTACCGCACTCATGTCACAAACCACAAACTCCTAAACACCTCACCCAGTGGGGTCACCCTCTTTATTTTTTATTGTGCAGTATTATGTGCATTTATTATACTAAACAATTGTGTAAAGTGGCAATGTACGCTGTATCAGAAAAGTATGTAATAATAATAATAAAAAATGAAAGCGCTGGTATGCCATCCTAACAACATCCTACGTGTACCCTCAATTACAAAAATAATGACAGAGAGCGGTAAATGCTCATCACTCTAAATTCTGGAATATGCTACAAGTTAAAAAGTGAGCGAGAAGTTGATGAGCTTAACTATTTGTATTATTCATTCATTCGTTTGGAGTGAAGATTACACATATGGAACATATTATTTTATATTTGTAGACGGGCATGCGCAATTTCTAACAAAAATATCTGAAAAGTGAATAAATATAACCTGATGCAAAAGGTAAATATTATTAGTGGCAATTTGAAAATGCTTTCATTTGCTTTGGCTGTATTCTAAAAATGCATCCATACAGAATGTCAAGTTAAAGGTCGTTGCAATGAAGTCGCTCATTAGTCTCAAGCTGACGGAATTCTCTACGAAATTACAAACGTTTCAACGAAATAGGTTTTTAAAACTTTTTCATTTATTGAATGCCAATCATAAAAGCAGACCTCAAAATAAATGAAAGTCTTCGTAGGAAACAATACAGCTATTACCATCAGACCGAAAGATATCGGGGTTTTTATGTTGAAATTGAATCGTTATGCTGGGGATATCGTCGTTGGCATCACAATAACATCTATATATACAAGCGCCACTTCACTTGAAGGTATAGGACCTGTCTCTTATACACATCTAGATGTGTATAAGAGACAGTATATATATATATATATATATATATATATATAGTGTTGAAAACATATCCTTAATTGTAAAAAGAGTATTGAATTTATTCAAAATATTATATACTTTTCTGCAGATAAAAAACTGTACATTCGTATGATGGAATTAGTCCTAAACGCAATTTAATTGTGTAAAATATATACATAAGTTTTAAAAAATATTACAATATGTATGACAAGAAAATGTGTAAAATAGTTACTACTTAAAAAATACAAACTAAAAATTATTTTTTCATAGGAGTTCAAATCATTCTGTGCATGTTTGGAACTCTAATCCATATTTATGATAAGTCAACAATATTTTAGCTTCAGTATTAAAAAGAGAAAATATTCCTTATAACAATGCGTTTTAAGATAGGAAATGGTACCCCTCTTGCACCCTTTAATGCATTTAAGAAGTTCTCGAAGCATGCTTTTTTTGTATTTTCACATTTTTTATTTCACGTTCATTTACGCGTTTTTAGTTTAATTCGAAGCAAACTTTTAAAAATAAATATTTTGAGTCGAAAGGCATCTCACACGATTTTTACTGCAATTAGTACGGTCTGAAGCCTTAGAGCAAGAGGCCGATTGAGAGTAAAAAACACTATATTGTTTCTCACAATATATTCTGACTGTTACACTTTTGTATCACTTCAGTTTCGAAAAGGAAGGGAAACTCAAATCTGATATGAATAAATGTCATAAGGAATCTTTTCCTTATTTCAAAAAAGAATAAAACTCAGGGCTCATGGAATTTGCGAGCTGTAATTCAATTAATTAATTGTTTATTGAACTGAAGCTTCAAAATTCCCTTGAATGCATTACATCTTCAAAAATATGCAATTATGTATTAAAACTTAAACGTTTGAGATTGTTTGTAGGTAGTAGAATAATTACTTTAATAATCTGAATTTTGTAATTTAGTGGAAAATTCTATTATAAGAAATCACTTCTTGCCGAATTACATTTATAATGAAAATGCAGGTTCAAATGCACGAAAAATAAGTGTGTTAGAAATAATTTTGTCTTTTAAGAACATCAATTTTAATGTAGTCTTTATTTTAAGAGTAGCGTACGCTGACTTCTTCAAGTCGAAATATCTTAAAGAAAATCTGTCATATCCTGCGCTCAACATAATAGAAACAATACTGAGCAGTCATAATATTGATACATAATATATCCTAGTGACAAGAATTACAGCCAAATTGTTAAATTTGTTCTGGCCACTGCTGATTCAGAATTATAATTAAATTGTAACAAGAATTATGAGGGTGCACGTGCAACTGTGCATTTACCAGCAGCCGCCACTGCTATTCCTCACAATACAATAATTTACAACGCGGTACAAAAAGTCAAATTTTATTACAAATAAAAATATCTGTTCATTAGCCTCTTTTATTTGCACGGCAATCATTAATTTCTTGTATGCCTTGACGATGGTTCAAATTGTCGCCTGGAAAAATCTGAGGCCTTATTGTGGTTTAAAAATGTATCACAGAACGTAAAAATCAAGCTTTTCACAACGAAATGCGTGGAACGAAAATTACTACGTGGGGATGAGGCTAAAGTACTCCATGCTCAGAGCCTTTGCTACTTTGTCTTCCCGCCTAATTTCGCCCCCCTCCCGATCTTGGCTCCTAAGACATGTTGCTTGACCAATCTCACGAACCTGATGTTTACACTTAATTGTAGTCGAAATTTTGTCTTAAGAAAGATGGATTATGAAAAAACAGAAATTTTGATTGCGGTATAATAGTTGTTTTCTACTTATCGCGTCTGAGTGTCTAATTTAAGATGATGCTGGCGAAGTTGATCTAAAGTTGCTGTTGTTTCCTTCCCCCAAAATTTTTATTTCTAAAAACTAATATATTTCTCATTTGGTCTTTTGATGTGCCAGAGATAGAATTAGGATCACTGAAGATAAATAACATTTTCAGAATACGTGTTGTTTCATTTCTTTTTAAAAACATGTTAAATAGGTTTGGTTACTTTTCGTAAACAACTGTATTAATTAATCCAGCTGCTTCTTCTTCTTTTCACTTCCCGTCAGCAAGTAATAACACACAACAGTTCAGACAAGGAATAGCGAAGTCGTTTACGTTTAAGGTTCTTATCTTGAACAGAGCAGTCTGCAAAAAATAGAAAAAAGAATGAGACTTAAGAAATAATCAAACCACAACAATAAACGCGCGTTTTAACATTTATTAAAAATCCCAAAGTAAACTTTCGGGAACACTTTTGTTGAGGGTCTGTAACACGGAAAGTAAATTTTCTTATATTGATTATGTACTTAAAAATAAATGTAAATATTTTGTTTGCAATTCTATTGGCCTAACAAGCCGACGCGACTTAATATTAATTACAAATGATTCGTGATTACATTTCTGAGGGAGCGTTGACGTTTCCATAGTTTTCTTGCTCTTTATTGTTTATTCAGACCTCCATAACAGTACATACCTATTTACATCTCAATCGCAGAGAGTTGTGGCTCAGGGCAACTACTCATGTTATTGCAATGCCTCTGGCCGGGGGTTCCTAGGTTCGAGTCCCGACTACAACAAGAGTTTCGACATTAACGTGTCAGCTAGGTCAAATTCAGCCGCTGTCTGGAGGAGAATTCGGGCGGACGGCTGCTCTCATCGAAACTTTCCTAGTCCGGTTTGAGCCGCCGAGGCGAACACTTCGAGTCTGTCTTATCGGTTTCTGGCAGTGGTCAACCCGCAGCGACCAGTGCGATAACGCTCAGTGTCAGTGTCGTTCCAGTGAGCGGTGCGAAGAGTGCCACGTTAGAAAAAGGGTTGTATTTTAGTTACAGGAAAGCCAACAAATCAATTTACACTAGTTAATGGCCACAAGTGGTTGCTCCTTTACGGGGCAACTAATTCCAAGCGCAATGGACGGGACTTATAGTGAAAATGGTGGTGAAAACTAGTTTAACAGCGAACCTGTGCTACCCATCCCAAATGAAGTAATACTTCAACAGCAAGAACATCTTCAACAACTACAACATCTCCAACATCAGCAACACATGGTAGAAATGCAACTCTCTCAACTTCTTTCTCAATATCATGTGCCTCCACATCCGCATCCGCAACAGCAACCACGGCCACAACAACCTCAGCTCCAAGGTACGCAGAAAGATGGTAATGAGCACAAACGAAAGAGGTCACTCTTGCCAGAAGAGGAAATGTCCAGGTACAAAATTCCCGTTCAAAATAGATATATACTTCTAGATACATTAGAGACTGATGTCAACGATCCAATTATCGTAGAGCATAATGCAGGTAACTTCCAACTCTTGATAGATGATATTACAAACAAAGTAAAGGACGACTTCACAACCAAATAGGAGAAAGACGCTATTAAAATTTCATTTACTTTAATAAGTGATTATAGAATACTCCAGGAACTATCAAGACTAAAATCCCCAGTAATTAAAGTAGCGAGACTTTGTAATAAAAAAAATGCCCTATACCTGTATGTGCAATTGATTTAGAAAATACTTATCAAAGTAAAAAAAAATTGCAAACATAACCGCTTTTTGTACAGTGTTATCATAATTCAGAAAAGAATCAAGTCTGATGTAATCCAATGTCAACGTTGTCGGAGATTTGGGCATTCCTGAACAAATTGTGGTCTTCACCCTCGGTGTGTCAAATGTACCGGTCAGCATCACTACTCCGAGTGTACCAAAATTAAATCTGCCCCCAAATGCGTAAATTGTGGTGACGCACATACTTCTAACTATATAAAAAGGTAGCAGATCTAATGAAAAAGTTCAAAAACATAAACCCATCTTTTAACATGTCTCACAAAACCCATACTTATTATAACAATGTACCTAATAGACAAGTACCATCATATCCTACCCTTCGTCCTAATCAAAACCTTAATAGGCAACCGAGGTCATATTCATCATTATTCAAACAGGACTAAGACTTTTGAAATGCTTCTACTAACGAGACTTAACAAATACCTGACAGACACGGAAGCAATACTAGATATTCAATTTGGTTTCAGAGCAAATCACTCCTCCACACACCAGCTGCTAAGGCTGAGCACATTGCACAGAGCTTCCAAGAGAAAAAAAAAACAACATTCTCTTGCCGCATTTCACGATATTGCACAAGCGTATGACAAAAGTTTGTCATGCCGGTCTGTTGTTTAAAATAAGACATATCGGATTTCCTGAATATATTCAGAATATTATTAAAGGCTTTATCTCTGATAGAAAATTTAAGGTAAAAATTAATCACTCATTTTTACTCTTCATAATATCACAGACGGAGTTCCTCAGGGCTCAGTTCTCACACCTATTTTATTTAATATCTTCGTGAGTGACATGCCCAAATATTCCAACGTGGAAACTGCTCTTTCTGCTGACAATTCGGCACTGTTTTCAGTAAATTATGCACTGCCCTAAAAAGAGTGCAGAATAAGCTTAGCATCCTAATGCAATGGACAAAAAATGGAGAATGTAATCAATCCACAAAAATGACAGACTTAGATATTTACTCTTAGAAGACCTCAAAACCCTCACTTGAAAATAGATGACAATGAAATACCTTGGAAAAGTGAATCAATAAAGTATCTTGGAGTATTGTTAGACAAGCGACTTTCCTGAAAACTTCATATTCACGCAGATATCAACAAATTCAATGCCCAAATATTAAAACTATACCCTTTTAGAAATAAACATTCAACACTCAATACCAAATGCCAGATTCTATTATATAAATCTATTATTCTACCCACACTAACTTATGCATGCCCAGTGTGGGGAAACGCTGCTTCCACCACCTTACAAAAAATGCAAATAGTCCAAAATAAAGTCTTTAGGAAGCCAATTAAAGCTTGCTTAAACGTATGTAACGTAAAGCTTAAAAATATGCTTATACGTCCCTAAACTAATAATATCATCCCGTATATCTGCTGAATCTTTCACGTTTCCCTTCCTATTGCTCCACAGGGCAATCCAAACAGTTTATCTCCCCTCCCTCCAAAAAATCAAGATTAAATTCTACTAGCCTCTAGAAGAAAACGAATGAATAAAATGAGCCGGAGTTGTTAAACTCAATTTGTCAAGGAATGCCTAAATTCCCAAAAAAAGTCAGCACGTAAAACTGAAGCCCCTCGAAAGAACGCCCCTTTGGTCGAACGAGAAGAAATAAAAATTCCATGTTTTTTCCGATCTACACCAGGCGAATGCCGGAGCAGAATCCTCACAAACGGGCCACGGAACGCGCGCAATCTTTTCGACCTCTTAGTTCTCTTATCTTCTTCCCTTACACACACACACTTACACTAACACGCTCTACACAAGCACACAGGCCGGAAGAGCGGTCGGGAGCTTACAGCTTGTCCCGACTGGGGCGAGACCCCGCTGGTGGGATACACTTGGTCGGGGAAAACACCGCTAGTCGACGGTAGGTCGACTCTGGATCTGGCCATCCAGAGGGGGGAGATCACAGCCATCTCCAGTGGGGGGAACAAGCACTACATTTACGGAACCAATGATCTTAGCGGTTGACGCGCTCGGAATCACTAACAATCAATCAATCATCACAATCATACCCATCGTGAGCGTGAGCGTGCGATTGATTTATTGATGTTTCCGAGCCTGGCAACTGCTATTTCCATTAGTCCCCTCATGGGAGGAATGTTATATCGCCGGAGGTGCCAGTGTTCCAGGATGGTGAGATCCGGTGCCAATCTACTCGTCAGATTGTGAGAGATTTCCCCCTCCAGCGGGCCCTTCTCCAGTTGGCGCATTACGCTCTACGGTCCCAACTGGCCTTCCAACATGAGTGGGTACGTGTATTTCACGTAAGTGCACAGTAAGCGTGTGTAATTAAGGGGAAAGTTAGGACAAGGAAGAGGAAAGAAAGTGCGCGCGAACCGTGGCCCGTTTGGTAGGGTACTGCTCCGGCATTTACCTGGTGTTGATCGGAGAAACCAACGAAAACTACCGATGAGAGCAGATGGCCGCTCGGATTTTCCTCCAGAGAGTGACTGAATTCGGCCAAATTGTGTACCTGTTTTGGAAAATCTGCCACCGTCGGGAGTTGAAGCCTAGACCTTCCCAGTTGAGATCGCCGGCGAGACTGGCAAAGCCGGCTCTGAACGCAACTCGGCCGGAGCGAGCGCGAACGAAGGGCGGGGGCGGGGACGACTTGGGCGAGCGCGTCGAGTCGCTGCGTTGCGGCCGCGCCTTCGCCTCGCGACCATCCGCCTTCGCTCACGCTCCGCCCCTCTCCACCCCTCTCTCCCCTACCGACACACTGCGCGAGACGGCCCGGCGCGCCCAGCATTCGAGACGAGCTGCCGCGCGCGGGCAATTTTTATGTCCGAGCAGATCTCCCTCCTCGTGAATTAGCAATGAGCGACACATCCCCAGGATGGACGCGGGGTGAAAGATGACATGGAGACGTGGCGGCGGAAGTTTACGATCGCTTTGACGGATGTAACGAGACGTTCGATACCAGTGGATGGAGGTCGAGGCGGCTGCAATTGTGAACCAAGTGGAAGACTTTGGGCCGCGGTAATACACTCATTATTTCAAGAGCGTTGCATTTTGTCCGAGAAAATGTGAAAACTCTTTGTCTACTTCAAAATACTGTCTTAGCAATTCGAATTTGAGAAACGACTTTGTGTCTTTTTAATAAAATAAAAAGTTCATTATGAGAATTAATCAACATTCACATTTTATTATTCCTAAAAATTAAATTTGCAGCCTATGTAAAATTTAAATTGTATCACATGAGCTCTTCTGTGAAAATAACAACATGCATTTGCAGCTTAGCAAAGAAGCACCTTCCACTGTTAATCATACAACACACTACACTTACAACCGATTAGTATTCGAAGGTAAATACTCTATAATACCGGATGGGCCAAACGTCACTACCCATTATTACTTCTACTCAATTCCTATTTTAATCTCGCATGAATTTTAATTTCTCGCCTGTGACATTCATACATTATGGTAATTAGTTCCTCACAGGCCCACTAAAACGCACTACTAAACAATCATCCGCTGTCAGATGTTTAGTTAGAGATTTGTTTAGATACGTTCCGTGTCTATATTGTAACGAATATTGCATTACCTGCCGGAATTTGCTGCGCGCGG